TTTTATTTAATAATTTTTATTTTACAATTAAAACTAAAACTAAATCGTAAAGCATGAGACTCAAATAGTTTTACTCACAAAATAACAAATAGAAGAAAGAGATATAACAGATCCCGTGGCCCAGAGCTTAACGGCCCGAACCAAATAACAACAGTCTGGGAACTAAAAATAAAACCGGGAACCGACGGCCCAAACAGAGCCCAATAACCAATGAAATTACTTTGGTAATTCAGCAAAACCCCACTGAAAACCTCCATCTTTCTCCTTCTTTTTACCCCACTGGTTTTTCCGATGGATTTCCAGGTGGTGGTTCTAGCCGGCGGCACTTCGAAGAATCTCGTTCCTCTCGTCTCCAAAGTCTTCCACCGACTCTTCCTTTTTCATATTTTTGGTTCCAATCCATTCTATAATCATTGTTGAATTCTTCTTTTCCACTTGGAATACAGGAGGTGCCCAAAGCACTGCTTCCGGTGGCGAGCCGTCCCGTTATCTCTTACGTTTTGGAGCATCTGGAGCAAAACAACCTCAAGGATCTGATTTTTGTAAGCTTCGTTCTTCCTACGCTCTCTAATTCGATTGTTATTTTCATGTTCCTGATTAGCTTGGGTTCCTGATTAGCTTGGAGTGTTTTTGGGGTAGGTGGTAGAGGGCAAAGATGCGGCACTCCATGTTGGTGGTTGGATATCTGGGGCTTATGTTGATCGTCTACATGTTGAGGTATCTGGGTGGTTTCATTTGTTGGATGATTAGCTACAAAATGTTCGATTGCTTCTCTTTCACAGCTTATAATTATTTTAAGTTCTAACTATGTGATTCTATCCTATTTATAGTTTAATTTGTTATTTGCTTTCTTGATATTGCAGGTTGCTGCAGTCCCTGAGGATGTGGGAACTGCTGGTGCAATTAGGGCCATTGCACACCACCTGACTGCTGAAGACATATTGGTTAGCATTTGCCATCCTTCATAATAGTTGGCTTATGTGATAAAAGTTATACTTTAAAGCATGCTTCATGTTCCTGCAGGTTGTAAGTGGTGATCTTGTTTCTGATGTTCCTCCTGGTGCAGTTGTGGCTTCTCATAGACGTCATGGTGCAGCGGTGACTGCAGTGTTTTGCTCTGCTCCTGTCAGTGGAGCTTTGGAGTCAGGATCTGGTGGTGGAAAGGATAAAATCAAGAAACCTGGACGATATGACATCATTGGCCGAGACACTACTAAACAATTTTTGTTATGCATTGCAACAGGTTAGATATCAAAGTTTTTTCTATTTTTTGGCATGTTATATGACCTGACATTGCAACATGCAACCCTTGGCAGGAGGTGAAATTGAGAAAGATACTCGAATTCAGAAGAC